GGGTAGAAGTCGCCAACTGTGCCCAAGAAAAGCTAGCTAGGTACGTATGCAAAAGGCTATCGTAAGGAGGGTCCACACGGTTGTCCTCCGGTCCTAAGGTCACTAACGACCCCGGTACAAGTGCTGGCGGGCGCAAGTGCGTGGCCTGGCACAGGGATACCTGAAACCCCGTACGCCTCGAAAGCGCAATAGGGTGCTACACGATACTAGATACTAGACTACAAGCGCTCACGGGCACAACTGTGCAAAGTCACCGTGGCAGCAGTGTCGGCGGGCACAGTCAAGAGTTTAGGAAAGTGGAGGGGATGCACGGGCAGAACCGAGTGTCGACAGAGAGGGATGATGGGTGCGCGCAGTGATAAACGTCAACACGAAACTTCGGTCAGAGCGCAGGGCTCATAACCTGTTGAACAATGAAAAGTTGGTCAGACCGGGGATTGAACCCAGGTCATCCCATATGCACTGGGAGGTGTTAACACTACACCATCCAACCGATACTAGAGTGTGAATTCTACAGATTCCAACAGGGAGAACTATTGTTTCGATGATGTGTTGGCTAAATACAGGCCATAATACTCACGCCTTAAAATTGGTCAATCAGATCATGGGTCATGTGTGCAGCAAAGCATGAACTTACTTTTGTTCCCACTGTACGGGTATGTCGAAGGCCATGGTGCAGAACTCTGGGTAAGGCGACAGAGGCAAACGCGCTTTGACCATATAGGAGAATCCAATGAGTACCTTGTACGGACACCAATTCACATAAGTACTTGGCAGATAGAAGGTGGGCTGACTCACAGAATCTGCGACCACTGTTACACAAGACAGGAGCCCTACAAGTACTGCAATTGCAGCTTTGTTCCCTCCGAAGGCATACACTCTTAAAGTAGAGAAGACTAGTGGTGTTTTGTTCCATGAGCAGCCGTCGTATACCGCGTACGACATGAGGTGCTCACCTGTCCAGACGGCACATAGAAGTACTGCACTTGCTTCGATGATACGCGGGAGGATGACGCAACTACGATACTTGCAGTGTCACATAACCACCTTGAACTGCGCGCCCACATCAGTCCCAAGGACACGCACCTCTGAGATATGCCATTAGCCTCAATATTGCAAAGGACCAAGAGGATTGAATATACTCACAAACAACGATGGACTTGACAAAGCACAGAAAAGCGTGGCTGTCGACTGTAGCAGACTGATGTACCGGTTGAGGATGAACACTGCCTTTGCCCATGTTCGTTTGCCGTCCGAGAGATAACGGATCTCGCGGTCGAAGGTCGTCACATACTCAAATAACAATAAGGCTATGGTCTCAGGTTAGGGGTGCTCTTATACGGTCAGCAGGAGGACAAACCGAAACTTGTCAAAGCCGTGCAGGCAGCAAGTTGACTAGAAGAAAAAATCCCATTGCGTGAGGACGGAGTCATTGGAGCGAAAGCAAAGGACCCACTAGCTCTGATAGTGTTGGACAGACTCGAGGATCCAGTCCTGTAAGCCATGCTGCTCTCCAGGAGCACTTGAATTAGTCGATGGCATGTCCGTTGCAGATGAGTGGCAAGAAGGGTGGACAACTCAAACCAGTTGGGAAGATGCTAGTAAGTAAGCGTACAAGCGGGCATATATACTATCTGGGCTGCGAGCCGTCCCTAGGTGGCTCGGACAACGTAATATCAGTGGCGACCGGAGACACATTACTACAGAATCGACTGACAAATATCATCAAGTACACCGCAAACGGCAGATTCGGCCTTATCTGAACGCACAATGCCTCCGCGGCTGTACCTCCTTCGACTTCTGCGCACATCTTATGAGCTGTGCAAGCAATGTATCAATATAATAGCGTCCGATATCTGGCACAGAGGCATTCGTCGCCTGCGGTGATTGAACGGCCCGAGATGCAGTGCATGATATCTGGACTGGACGATGGAGAAGGCTCTTTTCCCAGATCTGCCAATCAATCCGTTACCCATACAGAACGACAGCAAGGGGGAAGACATCTCGTCTCGCAACAAGATCTTCCACCAACGAGCTCGGAGTCGGGCGCGTTGACGGTCGTCATGTGCATGACAGCCAAGCAGGACGTTCCCGACATCTCATGAAACGGCCGTCTCGGCGACCGACGTCGGGATACGTGTACTGAAGAGTACCCACAGAGCGCCCATCTCCTCGAGTGAGAATCGAGAGAACCATTTGACCTTCGAAAACGCTTCATGAACGAGCCAAACTCAAGACCAGATGGAACGTGATTACACCAGCACGAGTTGGAGCAAATAGATCATGTTCTCGTAGCTGCCAGTACAAGCAGTATACAGGTGAGACTCATACGTGGGTCCATAGCAATTCCTTGGTGGCGTTCGCCCACCCTCAGCGGATGAATCCTCTCCGTATCCATCCGGATCTCCTGGAGAGGGCGTGGACTCGCGCAAGCGCGAAGTAAGGTCACGTAAGGCGACAACGGGGCCGGGCGACGGGAGGACTCCATTATCACGTAGACAAGTGACTGCGTGAGAGGTCGCGATGGAGTGCGTGCGAACGGCGGTGTTGTAGTCAACGACTGTGAGCGGGCACAACCGTCTGTCCCAATGTCGACGCCCACGAAGGGTAATGGCGGGCATAGAGGTGGGGCAGAGGGGCTGATGGGGATGGATCGCGAGCAGGGCACGATTGCGTCTACAGCCGGAAAAGCTTCTTCAGCCCGAACTTGTTCGTCTTGGGCTGAGCGACCCGCCCGTGCGAAGGACGCAGCACCTGGCGTGCATCATCGTACATGTTGTATGTGTCGCGCGGCGACTCCGTGGTCCCAAAGAGCGCAAATGCGTTCGGTGCGGATGGCGCAGAAGAGTAGAAGGTGTAGGCGGGGGCCATGGTAGAGTAAGACATCTTCGACGGAGGATATCAGGTGTAGTATGAGCGAAGGCTGGGAGCTTTCTGAGTGATGAAATCGCTGGAGGACTGGCTGCTGATGCTGACTTGAGTGCCAGTAGTACCCCGTTATATACCAGATATGTCTTGGAGGATTGCTGCCATTAGGGACCTTGCACGAATAGCATGAAGGCGAAGTGGCAATTGATGAATCCCGAGCGAGTGCGCACACAAGGGATTCCCTTTCCCGGCAAGTGTTCACGCCTAGGTCAACATAAGTACACACCGGCCAGCACAGAAGAGGCTGTTTCCAAGATACAGGTCGCCCACAGATGTATACTAGCTGAAGGTAAGCCACTGAAGCTCGAGGACGAGGTCGACAATGGAGGTCAAGAGCCGAGTACCCAACAGACGCCGTAGAGCAATGTTTGGAGACCAGGCGTACAAACAAATTAGGATAGACATACTTACCGCGCTCACGCCAATTCCCCGAAGCGGATGCAGGTCCTCCGCATTTCAGTACTACATAGTAAGTACTAGCAGACTCCTCCTCACCCGTGGCTTCTCTGCCTTCGTGCTCCTCCAACGAGATCTATGTGTGCTGAATATTATTGTGGCTGCACTCAAATCCCTCTGACTCGCGTCGCCGTGGTAAGCTGTCGAGCTTTACATCAGCGCCTCTACCGCTAAGTCGTATTGATCCAATCTCTGGGCTGCCAGCTCTTTGATCAAGCTCAAGGCCCATCGACTAGGATATGAGCCCGTGGCCCCTCATCCTTGCCTCTCACTCTTCCACCTGACTCTTATGGCCCCTTCAGCTCCCTTAGGGCACTCAACCGGCCCGATCTACTAGTACTAGCCCTCATATTCCCGCCCCGCTAGAATGTTACCACGTAACTACGTGCGGCCCACTGGCTGCGGGTACACAATTTCAGGCTGGAGCTCGAGCCAGGCCTCTTCAGCTTTCTGACCCCGATGCTACGCGATCTTCAAGCTGAGTTCTGCTCGAGCGCCGCCTGACTGACCTGGATCAGAGGCGAGCGCGACGAGGCGCCTTTCCCGTAAGTGGTCCTTTGGAAGAGCGCACCTTATCTCTTCACGTGGTCGCGCAGTTCTGTTGAGTCCCTCTCTTCGGCCGCGATTTCATACGTTCATCGCGTCCAGGTGCAGAGACGTCCGTCGTTGTGTCTCCCAGCGTTCTGATCACTAATTCAAGTTTTGGTCATCAAGGTAGGTGTGCAGGTATGACGACGACCGTCCTAGTTCCCCGGGGGAACTGGGCGACTCCTGGTTCTATGTCTTAGTTTGGTGACTGCTTCTGCAGTAACTGAATTGAAGGAGTCTTTTTCGGGAAAGGCGCTATTCATCGTAGCAAGGTACTACCATGCAGTGGTCCTTAGTTTGGACTAGGTCATGCCATCGCATCACGCCGTACCGGTCGCAGTTTTCAAGGAAGATCCGCCGCTCTCGCTCCTCCCCTCGGGCTTGGACCCCGTCTCATCTGAGCCGTCCCGACCCGAGCAGGAGAGGATCGGGGGCTCTAAGGTTGCGCGCGGCGAGCCTGACAGCCAAAGCTGCATCAAGGTGTTGGAGAGGATGTGTGTCGTGGTATTGTTTCCTTGACCCTCAAGACGTTGGAGAGTGACGTATATCGGATGGCTAAAGCGCATGCTGTGGTAGGGCGATTACGGAGCTCACGAAAGGAGTCGGAGCAAAGGCGGATGGTGAAGGAGGGACAGTGTTTCGCAGAGAGCTCTCCTTCCCCTTCCGGACGCCTACGGCCATCTTCTCGATGGTACATGGCATCACATTTATGTCTTGCGTCTTAGTGCTGGGCGCGCTTGCTTTGATTCTGCGAGTGGTGTCGAGTGGGTCTATGTCGTACTTACGATTCTGAGGAGCTATTTTTGTAGATGGTACGATCCGATGTCGACCGACATATGCAGGCCAGCTTATGATTAAGACATTTGTCACGGTGATGTCCACTCCGCCAACGCCACCCAACTGGCTGCAAATCGGCCCTTGCGGTGGGATGATGTTATTACCGAGATTAGCGTCAGCCGTACCGCCGAGTAGGGCCGGAATACGCATGGACCTCACGAATGAGAGAGCTTCCGTCTCAAGGACTTGCCCCCCGCGCACGAGCCACGCCTGGGCTCCAGGTTTTCGGAAGCATGACGAGGGCGTGGAGCTCGCCACAATCACGGTATGAGCGTTAATCAGCAGGATAGTCGAGAAAGACATACTTAAGTCCGTTGTGCACTGATGCATGTCACTACTCAACTCGATCCCACACGGTTACTGTATGCGAAAAGCGTGGTCGAGAGGTGACAAGATGGAACCGACCATTAGCATACGAGCCGGGAAGACTCGTGAAGACGGCAAAAGGTTCCGACAGCAAGTGGCACGCTATGCGCTTCCCGTGCGGGCGACTCACTTATCAGAGCTTGTTCAACGTTGCGGCGGCCTAGTGAGTTTGAACTCTCCTCATTGTGACAGAACCCAAACGCCATGTCTTCTGATGCACCACATTAGCTAGCGCGAGGACTCAAGCTGTTTGGCATAAAAGATGTATGAGTATGTACAAGCGTAAGGCAAGCATCTACCCAACGCCATACGTACTGCACCGATCTCCCGATGCGACACTACTCGTTCCTCCGAGTCTTATTCCTCGCCAGCATCGCCGCTGCTGGCGCACTCGCAGTCGCCGCGCAAACCGCAGAGCCCTCGCCCGAGTTTCAATCTATTTTCGTAGGGCAGCTGGTAAACGAGCCCTACACGAACACTACGGGCCCGTTCGGCTTCCGCGTGCACGCACCCGTCAGCGGGTGAGTTGTGCATCTGCATCCCCCAAGCTCTCGTGTTAGGCGACTCATAGGGATACTCTCCACACTCATAGAGGGAACCTCACGGACGCAACGACAAACGAGGTCGTCGCGACCCTCCTCCCGACAACAGACACAGGTATCATCACCGAGGAAGTACTATTGTTCCCTTTGTGGGTCCTGCCGTATATCTGGAAGGAGGACGGAAGGCTCGCCTCGATGACTGTTAAGGGCGTCGGGTGAGTGAGCAACGCTATTGCGACATTCAATCGAACAAACCGCATAGCTGACTTTTATGTGGATGCGACAAGAAACACAACCACCGACACTTACTGCTACGTGTAAGTCCGAGCCGATGGTAACTGTTCTTCTGTAGAGAGCGGCAACTAAGTGCACAAGCCGATTTGCAGGCACGTTGAGACAGACTCGCCGACATACTCGTGGATGAACCGCAACTTCTTTATCATGAAGATCGTCGCCACGGCGGATCCATTGCTGCACGTGTTTACTATGTATGGGATATCCAACCTGTAGAGGGAGTGTTGTTGTAGAATTGTTTGGAATGATATGTGGTCTGTGTGCCGATTGGTGTGGATACGGGGTATATTCTCAGCCCACTGTTTCTTCCTCTGACTAGCGATAGCAGAATAGTATCTCTATGCCCGCGTCGGTTTTTATAAGATACTGATACGGGATTGGCGGTTGGAACAATCTGTGCCTGAGGACCAACCTCCGATATTGAACGATTGTATCCCAAAACGGAAGCACACTATTGGTGTCGAGCCAAGGCCGCATATTCGAAATGATCTCGTTCGAGGATTCTCAGCATATCTTAATATACTATTTGAAAGACAAAGGTCATGTCATCCTACAAACAACGGATGAAATGAACTCCCGTATATTGGTCGTTGACGCAAAACTCCGGTGGGCGGGTTAGAGGCTAACAGGGACGCAGCCGATGGAGACGAGCTCCCCCTGTAAAACGATTCGGTGAGCAGCTAGCAAGTGACAAGGTGAGGATCACGCATACGTGACTGTTGTCGTCGCAGCACACGGTCGAAGCGGAGCAGCTGCCGCTGCTGCCCACGCCGATCACAGTGATCGGGGAGCAGTTGACACCGAGGAGAACGTTCAGGTCTTGAACAACGACACCAAGCAAGCCCAAAAGAGCAGTGCCTGTCGCAGATCCAGCCTAACCAACGCGAGGTAAGCGAGCAGCCACTAGACAGAGTCGGCTAATGCTTACGGTCTCAGTGGACTCGCAGCATTGAATCTCCCCAGTGGAGCACGACTGGCGGGCCTCGAGCTCGACGGGGGTGGCAGCAGCAAGGATGGGCAGAGAGGCGACGGCGAGAGCGAGGGCGTGAGTGAGCATCATGTTGCTGGGATGTGCTGCTGTTTGCTTGTAAGCGAAGGGCGAGGTTGTTCGACCTGAGAATGGATTGCTCACATTCACTCCTTATGTATGCTCCCCAAACCTCTGTCTATTTTGTTCGTTCGCCTTGGATGGCTCGTGCATCATCAGGACGTCACAGGGGCGAAGGCTTGTACCTATTTCAACCGTTCCACATGCGGGAGGAGCTACTGGAGAGCGTGAATCAATTACATACCAGGGCGTGAGTGCATGCATGCGCGCGACGGACCTCCGCGGCGCACAGCATAACATCTTTCTCCTGTGATGCTGGAAGGCGAAGTCCCGTGTGTTCCACTGGAAAGGTGCCTTCTAGCAGTGTCATCATAGTTCATATACGATGGGCCAATAGGGGAAACGCGAGAACATACATGCGACAACAGCTCCAAGAAATGCAGGCCCGCATGCTTTTTGACGTGAGGACAGGATGCTTAGAACCGGCACTGCCGTAATACTGTAAGGACGGGATCAGTGTGCAAACTACCTGGTCAATTGGCACACTCGACAGCCTTTAGGGTACCTTGAAGCGTGCAAGTAGTTGAGTTTCCATATTTCGTCCTTTGTTGAATACAACGACAAAGCATGACGTGGTGAAAGTGATCAAGACAGAGTTTCTCATGGAGTCCATGAAATGACAAGCACTCCAACGATGTTCAATGTCCGGACCATGCGGCAATGAGAAAGACGACCTACTCACATGCAGGTATTGGCGCTCCGCCAATTGTATGCAGTGTCGTCATCGCATCCGCGCAATCGGCGCAACGCCTCGGAGAGAAGTCCATATCCGATGCATGCTGGCTGTCCATCAGTCGTTCAGGTCTATGCTTGGCTCAGCTAGCGCACTGTCCGCACTGGGACCGCAGTGCCGGCGCAGACATGAGATCATCAGGAAGTCAACTTTCTCAGCAACGTCAAGCAATGCACACCGAGCGAATAGCGTATCGTTGTTGCTCAAGAATGATCCCTATATTCAGGGAGAGGCGGATCTCATCGCCCCTGTCACTTTTGAGGGGAGGGGTGCTTTCCCCGTCCCCGAGTTGCAGCTAAGCGCCATCCAACCTGTATGATGGGAACTATGTCGCAAGGCCTGGGAAGAAGAGCGGCGGCAGTCCAGGTAGCCGAGCAGAGGTTAAGGAAGGTCCCTTCCTGCTGGTCTGTCAGGCAACAACATCTATACACAAACACATATACAGGAATGAGACCCACCGGCTGGATGACCCTTCGGGATCTAACGCCGCTGGGACTGATAGTAGTAATAAATGGGGTCGTGGCCGCACTAGTCAGTGTGCTGCTGCTATCCGCAGTATGTACTTGAATGAATTGCATGAAGGCATATCCGCTAACGAGTGCGGCATGCGGATGCATTTCTCATCGAAGACGATCAGTTCCGGAGGGTTTGAAGCGTGACCATCCGAGGTGGCCGCGCACGGGCGAGTCCGATATCGGGAGGCGTACGCTGGTGCTGAATCCAGTCTTGTATAAGGCTGTAGCATTTTCTGCTAGCCATCGGTGTAAAAGGGCGGGCGGCAAGCGAGATTAATGTTGGGCGCGTTCGGCTCGAGAAGAAAGGCGACGACGAGGGTATCTCGTTGCAAACGCCCCTGGGAACTTTCGAGAGGAGACGCTCACATGGGCGGCAAAAGTCAGCAATCGGTAAGTACATCAAAGGGCCATGACTCTGACCCACCGAAGTAGAGGACGGCATTGCCTGGTTCATGTGGTCGGGTGACACCCAGTTTCTCGCCTGCCCGTGAGAGTCCCAGGATGGCTCTACGACCAAGCGAACGAACGGACGTCAACTTGAATGCGACTCACTTAGTCTCTTGCCGCCTCTCACATTTTGCATACAGCAGTCCTGGAAGATAGAGCGAGGAACGAAACCTATCCAACATATATACAGAAACTTGAACAAGTTGACTCTGTCATTGACAGCGTGGCAGTGGTTAGGGGTGCTCAATTCTTGTCGGTCGCTCAGTTGCTCGCGCGCCTATTGGGCGCCTGCCTAGCTGCATTCAAGGTCAGCTCAAGCGTCTGCAGCACAGCGAGCAGAGACACGCAGGCAGCAGGTGCAACACGTCCGCATGGTGCCCCCGAGCTGGGACTAGAGAGCGACGCGAGGATTTGACAATTTAGAAGCTATAAAGTTGCTTGTCTCGAGATATGGAGTCGCCTTACAAGGTTTGAGTCCAGTTGCAGCGGCACCCTCACCTGAACCATATATATGTCGTGCTGATTCTGTTTCCGACTTGGGCGCATTGTGTATAATAAGTCCAGGTCAACGAGTTTATAAGCTCTCCCGACGTCACCACGTCACCATTCACTTGCTGGGCTGATTTCCCGGGCCTAACAAACCTAGCATGAGACGATCTTTTCGATCTCTTTGCGCCCGCTGCCTGCGTGTCTCTGCCGCTCGCTGTACTGCAGACGCTTGAGCTGACCTCGAATGCAGCTAGGCAGGCGCCCAATAGGCGCGCGAGCAACTGAGCGACCGACAAGAATTGAGCACCCCTGTTGGTCGTCACCGAGATCAAGTGAGCGCCCCCTAGTACGTTCCGGGCGCTTCCGAACATGGCTCTCCCCGCCGCGCACACCGCGACTCGGAATCTCTCGCTACACCTGAAGCAGTTTTTGTTGAGTACAACTATAGCTCCTTCGGAATTCTCGAATGGCTTCTGACTCATGTGGATGTCGCTCGCTGCTCTCACAAGATGACTCTCATGACGAAAACACCGCCCTACTATGGCACTGCTGACTGAGCACCACCTGCCTAGCAGAGGCGACCACGACCTGCGTCGTATCCTCGCACGTATTCCTCAATCCGCCCAAGTGTTATTATTCATCAGCTCATCTTCACCTCAATTGCCGGACATGCACGGAGACGCTGACTAATCGTTTAGTAAGCTTTCCTGCGGCTTTGTCCTCTCCGAGAACGGGTTTAAGCAACAAGCCATATATATAAGGTCAAAGAGAGAGAACGAGCGAAGTTGCCCAATAACCAACGATTAAAGACAGGCCTCCGGTATGGCGAGCAACACCGAGACACTCCTCAAGACCTTCCTCGACTCGGGAGCCCCTCAGGACAGCACTGACTACACCACCGTGATTATCATTCACGGCTGGGGTTTTCACGCAGGTAAGATCCTCGAACGCCCTCTGCCCACAGTGATTCGTCTTGACAGACGTCCCACGTAGCAAACCTCAAGAAGCTGTTACCCCTCGCGCACAAGTATAACGCGCGCGTCGTCCTGCCCAATAGACGCGACTACCCTGGTTCCGCTCCCTTCACACCCGAAGAACTCGAGAATCTCTCAAAGCTAGCCAACGCGAATCCTGGTTCGTCTGATGCAGTCGAAGGGACGGAACAGGAGATGAAGGCACGCGCGCGAGAGGTCTACGACTACCTCGTTGACCTGGTAAAGACTGAGCACATTCCGCCAGCTCAAGGGCACCAAGGCGGTATCGTCCTCGTGGGATGGTCCTTAGGAGCGACATGGATATCCGCATTACTCGCACATGTCGCGACGTTTCCAGTCGAAGACACTCGCCTGAGCGAGTATGTTAGACGGCTGGTGTACTACGGTGCGTGACTCATACTGTATCCACTAATCGCCTCAAAGCAACCGGTGTGATACCGGTTGCTTTGAGTCGAGACGTGTCGAAGGAACCTGCCCGAGACTAGCGCTGAATGAAAGATCGATATGTGCGGAGGAAACGGAAACTGACCTACACGTGTAGATGCGTCGTACCTTGGTCTCGGCTTTCCATTTACCGAGGGTCTCTACCACCCCCTTCACGATCCTTCGCTCCCAATGGAGGAGTATTTCGAGAAGTTCTGCACATGGAGCTCAAGTTACTTCGCTCACGGTGACCTCGGCGCGGGACTGCATGCCCTCGAAGATCGTAACGCTCTAGAGAGCCCACCGCCAACTGTGAAGACTATGTCGGCGGAAGAACTAGCCGAATCAACGTCAGCAGCCGGCGAACCTGGAGGTAGCGAGAGCCTGCTCGCGCAGGCGTGTGGGATCCACGGCGTGTTCGCCTCGCTCAGGAAACAGGCGTTCTTCCTGCGCGATATACCTGACGGGGCGGATGACTGGCGTTCGGTGGATCTCCGGCTGATCTGGTGCGACCGTTCGTTTTGGGAGATGCCGCTGTTAGCCTGGACCTTCCCGAAGGAGCTTGAAAAAGCAGCGAAGGCAGGTCAAAAGGTTAGGACCGTCAACTTCGTGCGCTTCCGCGGTGCAAACCATTTTGTGAGTTCTCTGTCATGGATGCCGCGTGGTCTGTGCTGATAGAGTGATAGGCACATTGGGACCTGCCCGAGAAGACATTGGCCGGAATCCTCAGTGACGAAACGGAGATTTAGGTGGGAGGGGTTTCAAGGACCCTCGTGTCTGTCTGTGAGTAGACATGGTATATCCTGCTTATAATCTATAGTCGCTAATGAAGCATCTACAACGCCTCTGCAACTACAGCAGGTCTTACTAAGCGTGCAAACTCGGCAACACATTCAGCTCCACATTGTGATGTATAGCCTGAAATATGTACAATGGGCATGGAGAGTAGCAGTGGCTTCGCCAATCAAATGGAAATGGACATGGCCTAGAAGCCGATCAATTGAAAGAAATCTCTACGTCACTCAAGAAGTTGTCTACCAGGCTGGTAGTCCCGTGTCACCGAATCAATACACCGAGACGGGCCATGTACAGGAGTAGGTAGCCAGAGACTATCATCACGCGCTGGCTCATCGCAAGATGTCGCAGATTCTGATTCAAAGACGCCCTCACAGCTGCGTTCACTAGCTCGAGTCAGCTGTCGGACCTTCGGAACCTGGATAACAGAGGGGTCTGACCTCGTATGGTCCGCCTCCACGACGGAATGGCTGACGTGTGTGAGCGCTCAAACAACGATCTTCGTCGCAAATCATGACGCTGAACGTGTGCGTATCGGTTACGACTCGAGCGATTTCTTGCTCGTACATCGCAGGACTTTCGCGACCCCAATTACATTTTTCCTGTTAACGTCTATATCATATGTTGCTTACCAACCTCTTCGCCCTGGCTCATCTTTACGGCACTCCCACGGTCCTCTCGAGTTGTAGCCTCTCGAGTGACGATGCTGGTGCACCCAACGGCAGTTGGTGCACCCAACGGCAGTACTTGGGTATGCTCGGGCAATGGCGGGTCCAATGGCTGGCTCTGCAAGCACCTCGGGAAGGCCATTTCAGAAATGGTCGGCTCCCGCAACACCGTCGGGAACGTGGATGTGAGTCACCCACTGGACCGCTCCAGCTGCACCACAGAGGATCGCTTTCGGTCGCGGTATGCTGCACATCGTTCCACAACATCGGGAGGTAGCTGATGACGATGGCACAGGGTCACCCGGGTTCTTCGCGATCGGAATGGTCAGTGATGTTCCATACGTCTCTTCCCGACGGACTGTACTGCGATGTGATCAGTGGGAAACGGTTGTTGAACGGACAGTGCACTGGTTCCACGTAAGTCATCTTGCCTCCTACACAGTTAGATAGATCACAACTCATCTTGCCCAGGATCACGGTCTCTCATGGCTTCTCAACCGCGACCTTTCCTATTGCCGTCCACACGGGGCTGCGGCGTGCATGATACCCTTTCATATTGTTAACGAACTTCGGAATGCTCTCGTTTACATGGCGTTGCAATTCACATATGTATCCTGACGTAGTACCGCTATAATATATAATACGTTGGTCCGACGACTTTCACGTCCCTGGCTGCCGGGTGAGTTATAGTACGACTCTATCATCACGACGGTGCCACGAGGCAGACTGCGGCGGCTTCCATTGCACAGCCACGCCCTCAGTAGCGCCTCCAGGGCTCAGGTTGCGCGCCTCCAGGGCTTAGGATCTTTCGTACCATCACCTGAAGGCTACATAGTCGGTACGTTCAAGGACCAGATGAAGTTGCTCACATCTGCTGATCTCGTAACTCAAGGGACCGAAATGAACCACCAACACTCCGAACCGCTTCCCTTCCCCGGTTTCGCGTCGTCAGTGCCAGAACCGGATCCTGCTAGTCTCGCTGGGCTCAGCAGCGACGAGATCCGACCCTCGACACAAACGATATCGGAGGAGCCCCGCCTCCACTACTACACGATACTCTACCTCCACAACGCTGCCGCACCGATCCACACGCTGCCCACTGAGCTGCTGGTCAAGATATTCGGTCAGACGTGGCAGGACCGGAGAAGTGTCCATCTAACGTCCGTCTGCCGGCGATGGCGCTCTGTCTACCTCTCCACGCCTCAAATCTGGGCAGCAGCAGTTTCAGCGCTTTATTTTCGCTACACTAGGGTGGCCCGGGATATGGCCGGAAGCAAGGACGTCCGATCGGTCACAGTACCTTCTGAGCATGTAGCCGCCCTCCTCGAAAGGTCTTCCCCGTGCCTCATCCATACAGAGGTCTTAGGACCCGAGTCCCCAGACGAGCCCGACCCAATATCTGCTCTTCCTGTCGAGCTGTCTGTTCATTCACATCGGGTCAGTTCTCTATCGATCTGCATTCAGAGTACGCGGCCAGTGTTGAACAATCTACCCCGGCTGTTGGAGACGAGCACGCCAGCATTAGAAACACTCCATATCTATCGTGGACACGAAAAGGCACAGCTAGGACGAATTGACCTGACAAGTTTGCCGCGCTTCCCTGAAATCAATCTTCCCCACCTGCACGAGGTGTTCATCAGCCCGGCGGAACTCTTCCCTCTGTTCACTGCCAGATCCTTGCGGAGAGTCAGCTTGTCCGGCTCCGATCCTGATGCAAGAGTCATATCTCCAGATCCTCTGGTGCTACTGCAGGCGCTGCGCAACTGTCCCAATCTCGAGACCTTGCATTTCGGCAACTATGCGATCCCGGACGAGTGGCCGGTGACGGGACGCGTTGCTATCGTACACCTTCCCTCGCTCAAAGAGCTCGGAATCGTTGAAACATCGAACACTTCGATCTGCGCGATGCTTAATGCCTTATCCGTCCCTCCGACCGCCCTCATCCAAGTAGCGGGAGTAGACAACACGAGTGTCGCCGACCTCGTACCTTGTCATCTCTTCCGAAGTCGCCCGTTCGACAGAGTTTCTCTGCGCACAGATAGACACAGCTGGTGGATCTTGAAGTGCTCTGTGAACCACTCTCGACAAGTCTGGGAACTGCGGTTGGATGGCGCCTCACTTCGCGAAGTTCTCTTGCTGAACTACTTTCAGGGGATGCACGTTGCTCATCTGGAGGTGCTCGATCAGTGGTGCATCACATGGTGGAACGCTACACCACATCAGCAAAATGTTGAAGAATATGGGCAGGCATGAGCAGGTGCCACCTTACAGACCAGATCCGCAAGGTATGGCAAAGGGATGGCGGAAACTGGCAGAGATCCGCGAGGACTCACCGGCCATGGCCAGATGGCGCGCGAGGAATCACCGGGCATGGCCAGATGGCGCTGGGCGGCTGGGCACTGATTGCCATTTGTGGCGGGGCATCCTAACAGTAGCTACCATATGATAGGGATGGTACGGGCAGCTATGTACATGGCTCAGTGCACTAATGGGAATTTATGGGCGAACATGAGGATCTGTGCTGCCATGGCAGACAGGACATATGCGAGTGGAATGCCGCACATGGTAGAGTGGCAGGGCACAAATGGCATATGAGCAAGCGGCATATGTTCATAGACAACAACACCGGGGATCAGACGTAAGGCGATGGAATTGTTCATATCACACGACACAATTTTGACATCATCAGAGGCAGAGTGGACACAGCATTGTTTTGAATGCTATTACATACAAGCAGGCGTGACACAGTATACAAAGAGAGCACGAATGTGCTGACAATGAAGCAAGCCAGACCAACAAGAAGCTGACAGAGGAGCCTAAGAACTGAATTTTGCGGTGGGGGCTGCGCCCGTATTTGCGTGACTGAAGTGCTGAGTTAGTGAACAGCAGTCGAAAACCCGGGCGGAGAAGCTCAACGTCAACGGCGACACATACATCTCAATTGTCCAAGGGCGCCTCGAGTGCGCCGCCCTCCGAGGCGGGCAAAGACGACTCCAGGGGCACTGACGGGGTCGGGCTCTTGTTGGCACGTCGGGCCAACATCTTGAAGTAGTCGGACTCTTGCAAATCCCGTTCGGCGTCGGAGTCGTCGTTATCTTCGGTATCATAGATTTGTCTGTATGACATGATTAGAGAGACATTCAGCGCAGCCAGAAAAATATCCTATTCGATGACACGCCACTTACTTGTTCCACCACGCGAGGATCTCTTGGTGCCACGACGGAGACTTGTGCGCCAGGTCCATGATGGCCTCGAGGAACACCGGCGCTTCCCAGCGCTTGCTGTCGACGTCACTCCATACACTTTCAGAGCTCAGGGCGCTCCGAGCCTGAAACACAAGCATCAGGTAGTTCAGAGGGATTACGACATGAAACGTACCAGGAGCGCAACATATACAATACTATGCATGTTGACCTTTGACATCTTATACTTAGCAGCAACAGACTGCTGGCCCCGGGAGGGCACGAGACCAAAGACTGAGGAACGGCCGCAAAAGATGGCCTTGTAGTACTAAAAAGAGGTTCAATATCACGTTTGGTGGGGAACAACAACACTTACAGTGACGAGAAGTGGGCCGCGCAGAAAACCGGCCTCAAGATCCTCGGCGTCCATCTTAGACACATCAGTCATGAATGAAGGGAAGTCATACGAAGTGATTTTGACTAAATGGTTTCGAAAAAGCGAACAGGCACTTCAGATTGATGTCAGCGAGAGTTAAAATTTTGAATAGGGCACAATGCCTCTTACCGGGCCGGATCAGCTTCGAACCGCTCGAGATGGCGGACAGGGCACAGAAGTCGTCCTGTCCGAGAGTCTTCAAAGCCACAGTTGGAGTGGCGCTTGAGAATGTTGTTTGGGTCCTCGAGCTGCGAGTAAGATATGATATGATTGTTCAACCTGCCCAGGTCATCGCTGCGGACTTTCCCCGCAATGGCACTAACCTGTTCATTCCGTGAGCTCGCTTGAAACATGCAGGGTTAGAAGATGTATAAGCAATACATACATATTGGCCGAGGTGGAGGATCAACGCGGGGGTTACTGCCAAGTAGTCGAGGTGCTCCTTGATGCCGGGGAAGTAGGAAATCCAAAGGAGGGAGACAGTGTGCGCCTTGACGTCGTCACTATACGACTTAGCCGAGCTTGTGCTGATGTGAGCATATAATAAGAATGGACGTTAAGATGGCACGTACTTGTGGGGGGGGTCCTCAGGATCAACGTCCCGGAATAGGACAGCGTAGGTGAGGGCGCGCACCTGGTCGGGGTACTCCGTACTGCAACGGCCAATCTGGCGCGCCGCGACGTACATCAGCTCTATGCCGAGGGCGTTGCGAGCATCGACACTAAATAAAGAAGGTAACAAACACATTTTAGTAGAGATGCGGTGTTTCTAATGCTGGCGTGCTCATCTCCAACAGATGGACTTACTCGGCGCTGGCGTTGCAGTTCCAGGCTTCTATAACCCACCCCGTGTTCTGGGGTTGGACAGGAGAGGTGTTGACAACATCCTCTGCATGAGTCTCATCGGCGTTGTCCTCTGAGTCAGAATTAAGAGTCGGCTCAAGACGGAGCCTCTTGGACGCCCTGGCCATCTCCTCCGCCGTGCGACCTGTGTAATAGGTCTATGTCGTGTCGCGAGCGGGATAACCAAAGAGTAAAAAAATACATGCCTTTGCGAGACCTCTTGTCAGTCTTATGGCCCCCGGGGCCCTCCTGAGAGGTGACAGGTGTCGAAGGCGGAGACTGAGACTCTCCGCTGGAGGACCCGACCTGGGCACGAGCAGCGGCGGCCTGCTTTGCATGAGCCTTGAAGGTGCGGTACCAATGGGGTCTCCCTGGCATGTTTAATAAATGTAGTAGAGCAATAGAGCGGGGAAGAGTTTCAAATGGTGCTCAAGAGAGTCGAGGAGCAGGGGATGGGGATGTTGTGTGAGAGGTGGGGGCTTTCTAAGTCCGATGACTCTGCTAGTGGACTTGGACGTGCCACCGTGACCTCACAACAACTGCCTGATACTCACCTGAGATACTCACCTGAGGCAGTCACAACCATGAAAGCAGAGCAATTGAGAATCAAGAAGGTAGTGTAAGGCATATGGGCTGAGGATCATTATGGGAGAAGGTGGAGTATCACAAACAGATAGAAAGATGGAGGACTACTCTGGCGGCGCGCCACGGTCATGTGACTGTTGGACAACTCTAGATACGCGCCACCCACGTGTTTGCCGCGCCACTCACGTGTTTGCCGCGCCACTCACGTGTTTGCCGCGCGTGGAAGCCTTCTTGCTCGAGGTCTTTAGGCAATCGTATCGTCCCACCCTCACAAATCAGCCCTTAACAACGATCCTCCCTGTCATATTTTGGACATGCCGGAAGCCTGGGATGCGTTCCACCGGTTGGACAGGTTGCCAACATGGGCGCTCACCACGTCGGGGGCAGCAAGACCCGCCTCCCTCTGCCCCTTGGCCCACTCAAATCATACGGCCTCCCAACCATAACGGCTCTCCACCCACGAACGGCGCACTTAGGCTGCAACTGACCGCGCAGGCATCCGACAAGAACAAGCACCGCACCGCCACCCTTGTCACCTACGCCGTCACCGCACTCCGCGTGCTTGTCTCTACGCTGAACGACCCGAAGTCCAACCTCAACATCATTTTGTGTCGTTATGCCGCGCCCCAAGTCCTCAGGTATCAAATCCTCACAAAAGCAGTATCACTGCTTGGCGACCGGATGCGCCTTCAGCACGGACAGCAAGATCAGCATGGGGCGGCATTGTAATGTGTGCCCTCATGCGCTGGCCTCTATCACGGCGGCCGTGCTTGGCAAACGCAAGTCCGATGAACCGCCCATTCTGCTTTACAAGAGAGCATGGCTGGAACGTCACTCCCAGGCAAGTCTCTTCGATACTATGGTTTTTAGTTAGGGCTGCTGATGCATGCATCCCTGAATAGTCCCTGTATATGCCACCCCCTCCTGCTCTCCCTAATCCCAGCCAGCCCCCACCGTCTACTAGATCAGGCCGGCGAGTCCGTGTACCGAAGATTTGGGACGACTTTGTGCCATCTTCGCGCAGCGGTCTCCCATCCCAGTATGCGGCCAATGTGGCTAGGACCGCGCCCCCTCCCCATGTCGACGTCCCGCCACTGCGTGATCCGTCTCCCCCTCTCCCTCCTGCTGAAGCCGCATGGAAGTCAGAGTCTGACGGGTTCGGCGTGTACCGCGAATACGCGCGCCGTCCCCATCGCGATCCAGAGGCTCATGTCACGCTAGAAAGTGTTTGCGACGCCCCTGGACTCGAGAAGCCTGCCACGTAGGACGCCCCCAAGTACACGAGCATCGCGTGGATCAATCGCACCCGTCCTTCAGGGACCCTCTCACCCTCATCGAGCTTCGCATGCAATGGTTCTCAGGAGAAACCCGCGCCAACTGAAGCCGATTACGGTCCCTTTGCGAACGCAGCCCAGTTCCGACTCGTCGACCATTTCTATGGCCGGTCGGACACCAACTCCCTGGACGCTCTCGACGATATCATCTCGGTAGTCCAATCGCCTGGATTCAATGCCGCCGACCTTAAGGGATCCTCTGCGAAAAAGGCTGAACATGCACTGGACGAGTGGGCCAGCCCTTCTGGGGTGTTCTCCGCTGAGGACGGCTGGCAGCGATCCTCAGTACACATCCCCCTCCCACGTACCCATGCCAACTCCGGGCACACGCGGCTTCCGTCGGATCTCCTCCTCCGCTTCGAGCATGGCATTGGAGTTGTAACAATCCGTGTAAATGCGAATTGGCGAAGGGTTATGGGGTAGTTGGGAGTCGGATGTGGAGCCCGACGTTGATGAGCTGGGTTCTGTTGCGGGCGAGTGTTGTGCGGCCGGTGGTATCCAATACCTCCGGTGTGCGAGCCAATGGTATACGTGCTTGAGATGCGATGTTGAACAGGCGCTGGTTCACACAGCTTGCCTAACACAGCCGTCACAAGATATGGAACGGCACAGCCGGTTACTGCAATAACCGAGGCTGTACTACTCATGTGGTACACACACAGCTTCGCTGTGTACGCACTGCTTCTCTGTGCGACTGTGCATCCTGGGAATGTACTGTATAGTACTACGTAGCCACAGATGTACAGTAGTATATATATAGGGGACCTCTGTACCCCCAATCTACAGTTCAGTTCACTCGAACATCTCCTCTCATCGCTCTAACAAGCCTCTTACAACCAACAACCCTTCTAGGTGAGTTGCAGGCTATCCACTGTCGTTGCCACCCATGGGAGAGGCCTTCGCCCCCCGGGTTCAACATGCGATTCGGGATCTTGCACGGCGAGTTTGATGATGGGGAGAAGACGGCGATGGACAACACCAGGAACGGTGAACTTCGGAGCTTCGGCCTCCGACGGGTACACACTCCTGACATGGAGTATGTCACCCTCCCGATGCTCCTCTGGTCGGACGCCACGCAGCTTTCCAACTTCGGTTCCGCGGCTCTGTGGCCAATTTACCTGTACTTCGGGAATCTCTCGAAGTACTTCCGCGGTCGGCCGACTGAGTTTATGGCGCATCATCTTGCATATATCCCCGGGGTATGTGATCAGGTTGTTATACAGATCAGAGCCCATCAAGTCGGCTTCTGTATATTGCATAGACTGCATGCTGACCAACATATCAGCTTCCAGATGCCATCAAAGACTACTATATGGCTATGTACGGAAAGTCGCCTAGCGCTGACGAGCTGAAGTTCTGCAAACGCGAGCTCTTCCAACAGATCTGGCTCCTCCTCCTGGACGCCGATTTCATGCACGCTTACAAGCATGGCATTGTGCTCACTTGTGGCGATGGTGTTGTGCGGCGGCTTTTCCCGCGAATTTTCACATACTCTGCTGACTACCCGGAGAAGTAAGTGCTCCCCACAATGGTCTTCCATGCGACCGCGTCGTGTTGGCTCTCATATACTTATTACTAACCTACTCACAGGGTGCTTATCGCGGCGCTTCGACCGCTTGCACGGTGTCTTTGCCCTCGGTGCCTCATCACCAAAGACCAAGTCGCGGATGCAGGTACCAAGACCGACGACCGCCGCCGTGCACATACACGCCAAGATACGAAGACCTTGCAAGCGAACATCAAACGCGCGCGCAAGAATATCTTCAAGGGTTGTTCTCTTGCCGGGCCACACGTCAAGTCATGGCTCGATCCCGAATCCTTGACTCCCATCCAAGTATGTGCTCTCCATCAGTTGTAATTGTCTTCATCTGAGCAAATGTTTTCAGAGCGCATTTTCCGTACGCTTGTCCGAGCATGGCGTCAACTTTTACGACCTGCTCGCTCCCGACCTGATGCATGAGTTCGAGCTCGGGGTTTGGAAGGGGATTTTTACTCACCTCATGCGCATGCTTGCTGAGAAGGGTGGTGATGCTGTGGAAGAGTTCAACAGCCGGTCTGTCTCTTATCTTGATATACTGGCAGACATCATTTACTAACATCAACTTAGAATGCGACGTATGCCAACATTTGGGCGCGACCGCATTCGCCGTTTCTGGCACGACGTCTCCTCGCGCAAGCGCCTAGCAGCGCGCGACTACGAGGCCTTTTTGATAGTGAGTGTGCCCCTGATATCAATATAGATTGGCCAATCTGATGCAAATGTGCCAGACTATCATGCCCGCATACGAAGGTCTTCTCGACCTGCCAGACGACCAGACGGTGGCCGACCTACTTTTCGAACTTGCCAATTGGCATGCATTAGCAAAGCTCCGGCTTCACACGGAGGTCACCCTGGACATATTTCGCATCACCACAAAGCACATGTATGAAGCCATCCGGACGTTCGCACAGCAGACGTGTCCACGTGTCACAGCCAACGAGCTGTGCCACCAAAACAAACAAGGGCAAAGCTTACTGATGCAGAGGTTGGTGCTGAGAAGCGAAGCAACCAGAGGTGACACAGCAAGAGATGTGAAGAGATGTATTCCCTAGACTAGAAGGGGTAGTGAGGGAGGTAGGGCTGCTAGCTACCTACAGAGGAGATGGGGAATCGACAAGAAGATCAAGTCTGAGGTTCCCTGCCTCAGACTCCCTACTATATATACTAATACAATGGTGCACAGACCAGGTACCTATTGACCATCGTTTGGTCAGAGTTCTCTGCCTCATGTCCTACCCTCTGACCTGCCTCATGGTGACCTTACGACTAATACCTGAGTCGTGCTGAGTCCGGACTCCTTCCAATGAGTAAGCGCTCCTGCTGTCACATCAGTCACCTGCCAGTGAGTGAGGATGGGCGCTCCTGGCCGTCACGGGGTCTGGGGTTCGATCCTGGCCCCTCCACTTTC